ACATTATTTTCAAAATCTGCGTAGGTGAATTATGGGAAATCCGTTATTAAAAGCAAAACTACTTTTATGGAGTTTAGATTTGCAGGCCTGTGTTATCAGTTCATTCTTGTATTTCGTTGTTACGTGTGTCATCACTGGCTCAAAGATAACTACATTAGTGACTTTTGCCCTATTAAAAATGTTTTTACTACTAACTATTTTGTGTAATATACTATTGCCTTGGTTTGTTTTAGCGTCTTAAGTCTGCAGACTTGCCGCTGAGCCACTGATACTATATTATTGTCACCTATTATCTGTCTTTTAAATTTGAATTCATTAAAATAAAAAAAAAATAATTGCTAAGACGTTTGCTCTGAGTGCAAAAACTTTTCATCTTTTAAAATCTGTATGAGAAAACCATGAAAGAGTTGAACACATAAGATCGGTATCACACAAAAACTATTTAAAAATTGACGTTTTAATTATGATTTTAATTCTGACTCTAAAATTAGTTAGCCAAAAGTTGATGAAACTGTAAAAGGTCATTAACGGTTTGACGGTAACATTTAAAGTCAATGTAAGAAATTAAGACAAAAATTCATATTTAATGCATTCAAAGAGAAGTGTAAATAAAGAAGTGAAAGATAATGTCAGAGTTATCGCCGAGTGTAAGATAAGTAGATTTAATCAAATATACGTAAGGAACACCTGGTGGGAAATACTAGAACTACTCATATAAGAGTTGAGGAAAAACAGTTTGAACTAAGCATGGATGTCTGCTTCTAAACTGTCACTAGGTGTCTTTACGTAGCTTAGCAAGTGAGGATAATAAAGTAACCTGAATGCAGACGTAGTATAGACGACACGCGTGTTACTCGGGTCATGTCAGATACATCGTTCCCGAACAGTGAATTATGTAGATAACATAAACTGCTATCGCTGGGAGAGGTTCAAAATATGTTAATTATGTAGATTACAGCTACCAACTTTAATAAACCAGATTTTCACTTTATCTGATTGGTTATTATTAACTACTTAGTTACTAGTCTTTAAGATATTATATCAAATAAAATACAACTATTATTCAATGTGAAAATGATTTCAAAGTCGCTAGCTTGTTGAATTCGCGAAACTACTCGAGGAGCTATCTGCAATAGGCGTCCCTAATTCTGAAGTAATAGACTAGAAGGAAGGCAGGTAGTCAATACCACCTATCGCCAACTCTTGGGCTACTCTTTTACCAACGAATAGGAAGAATATAACGCACCCATGGCTGAAAGAACGGGGATTCGAACCAGCGACCCGCAGATTATGAGTTGGGCACCCTAACTACCAGGCCATGCCAAATCTTCTGACTGCTAACAGGAAAGAGACTTGCTTTAAATTCCCTAAATTTTGTTTCAGTTATCTTATTAGTATCGTCATGATTTCGTAGTTTTTATTGTGAATTATCAGTAAAGTATGGGGGAATGACGTTTTTTAAAGTTCACCAGTCAGTAGCACCTACTGTCAACTCTTGGATTACTTTTAGGTAATGGAATAGTGGGGTTTGACTGTCACTCTTATAGCACATTCACGATACCAATGTACGAATCTTTCTTTATCGGATATGGTACGCGAACCATGATTCCTCGACTTCTCAGTCTGGGCACGCTAGCAAGTAAGCCATGCCCTGCCCTATTAAGAAGAAACATTTTTAGTAGAATATTTGGGTACGGATATTTGTTTGACTGTCA